AAGCATGGAACATAACCAATGAAGTACACAGTCAAATGAGAAATAATTAAAATTAAAAATCAGGAAAGTAATATAGAAAAAAATATTAATCAAATAAATGGAAACTCGAGAATAGGCTCATGACATTACTAAACATCAAGTAAAAACACATCTAAAGTTTGATTTACATGCACATTACTTATTTATTCGTATTTTTATTTATACTTACGCTAAATTACAGATTAGAGAATATTTATGTTTTAAAGGGGGGAAAAAAAAGAAGAAAAACAAATCTAAAAATTTTTAAAAAATTTAAACATCATAACCTCAAAATAATTTCTATCAATATTAATAAATTATAAATTACGAACAAGTGCATATATTTTTTTTTATTTCCTTCATGCACGATTACGAGAAAACTTAACGTGTAACTGCCATGAATAATGAAGAATGGTGATTTTCGTGCTGAACTTGCAACCTGTAATTTACCTGTATTTAAGCTTTGTGTGCGACGGCAAGTCCCGGCTGCTGTATTGCTTTGAGATCGCGCTCAAATCCTTCTCACCCCGTCCTTGTCCTCCTCGGGCAGGCTCGAAGGTCGGTCTCGCCGCCGTGGTCATATTTTAAAACAAAATCACTCGAATAAACCTCAAATCAATTAATCGAGAGAAAATTGAACGTAACATCAGCAATCAATTCTGCCCTTCGACTATATAAATATGGACTGTTAGTAGCTCACTTCACTCGTGACGCCAACATTAATTTGGACAGTGGTGCTACCATGTCGCACGAACTAAAATGCGTGACGTCATTGAAGCATGAATGATTGATCAGTGCATATCAGTTCATTTCACGATTTGACGATCATATACGAAACTTACATATTCTTGAAAACCATAAATACGAGTTAATTATTGCACGAACTTATTTAAACGTAATAATGTTAAAATATCGTATTTCGGTGCGTGTGAAACAAGAAATAAACATAATTCTTTCATTCGACATACATTAACAAAAACTGTTATATTTAAAGGACAATAAATAATATTTTTATATATTTTATATCTGTTTTTAATCAGTACATGATTTTATAAATTATTACACAATTTTTATAAAATGTTAATAAAATATATCTGTTCGTTTATGGAAATTCTTATTTCATTTTTGAATTATCCGCCATTTGAGACATGGGGTGGAGCCGAGGGCTGCGTTCCGATATTCACTGCCAGTACTAAAAATCTATAATATACATAACCTAAACCTAAATATATTTTCAGTACTAACAGTGAATATCGGAACGCAGCCTTAAATCTCGAAATATCTCGATCTAATGTTGATGACAACAGGTGTTTACGACAAATGAATCTCATTCATCAAATCTCTGATCGGACAAAGCAGTGGCACTCAACCAATAGACTTTAAATTTTCCTAGATTAATTCGGATCAGGAAGTCAATCATGTAACTTTTCTCCTAGGGCGGAAAAGTGAAAAGTTTCACGTGAACTTACGATTATGTACGATTTTGCGAAATCATGTAACTCTCTCAAATGTGAAAATGTGAAATTTTTCGCCATGTACCTTGGTGGCGGAAAGGCGGAAATCTAGGGAATTAATACATATGCTTCGGAATTAGAGAAGATTAGGGTGCGTTAGGATTAAGTGTACGTAATACATACAATTGATTATTAAAAGATGTATATAATACTGTATCAATAAAATAATTTTCATTAGCTAGAAAACCTATGAAACCATGTTTCATGATTTCACTTTCCATGTATCCAAGCTACATACATAATCGTTGTACATGAAAAGTTTCACGTAAAATGTCAAGGTGTGAAAAATGAAAAGTAAAAAGTGAAAAATGAAAAGTGAAAAATTTCACTAAAGTTACACGATTGACCTCCTGTAATCTCTGCATTGATCGGATCAATCATCGTGGACCAAAGAAACATAAAAGCATTTTTGTTGAAAGATTTCTCTTTACTTTTTTTATATGAAATATTAAATAATTTTATGAAATATAAAATAAAATTCGTAATAAATTTGAATTTATATATTGTAATATTTTTTTGTACTAAACATTTCTTTCTGTGAAAATAATCCATTTCAAAGCTTGAAATTATATAAAAAGTGCAAAGTCACGCAAAGTTAATAAAAAAATATCCTATTAAAAAATTGAAAAATATGAAGAGATATGAAAATACATTGATGACTTTATCGCTTCGAAGCCGGTGAGCTTCTATCGTCAAGGAATTCGCAAGCTACCCGAAAGATGGCAAAAGGTCGTTGATGCAAACAGGGAATTTCGCTGATTAATATTTTTTTGTTGTTTTTGAATAAAGATTGAATTTTACAAAAAAAGCTCAGAACTTTTTTGTACACCTAATATATATATATATATATATATATATATATATATATATATATTATATTATTTTTTTTATTTTTTTTTTTTTTTTCTTTTCTTTTTTTTTTTTTTGTCAGAATAAACCACATCTGGTTGATCCTATTGACTTCGAAAATTTTGTTCTAAAAAATAAGACACTGCTGCAAAATGATCCACAACGAGAGTTATTGCTGTATCCTCAGGATGATATTTCTGTGAGTCAAACTTTTATATGGCTTATCTGTTGGCTTGTCAGCATATTTCCGACATACTTTTCATTTATAGATAAGCGAACAAAGCAAGAATTATACATAGGATATGAGATAAACTTGTGAAATACATAAGGAAAATATTTAATATTTTGCATTTTCAATTTAATCTTTTAAATTAGTTAAATTAAAAATATTAATTTTTTTTAATTTATATTTTTAACTTTATTTCAAATTTTTATTTTAAAATAAATAATTGATATTAAATATATATCATTATTGTTATATATTTTTTAATAGCAAGTGGTTTTACCAAGGAGATATCGCAGTGTGGTACCAACGGCACAACATATTACAGAATATGAAGGAGCTGAGAATCTCCTAACAAAGGAATGTCTTTCTAGTTATACATCTAATTGGAATCTTGTACATTATAAATATGCAGCATATAGTGGAACTTATCTTGAATTACCAAAGTATGCAAAATATGTTTGCTATTAATTAGGATTTCGAATGTCGTCTGTTATTTTGTAGACATTACTTTATAAATTTCCAGAATATTGAAAGCAGATGATCTAAAAGATGAAGTGTATGAGATTGATACTGAAGTAGATCAGATAGACGAGGTAATATTATTTTTTCATTCTAGAAGATTTGCAATTGCTATACTTTGGCTTTGGATCTTAAAAATTTTAGATCGTTTAACTATATGTTACTTTGGCAACTATACTTTCATTACATTTAAGGCTAAATGTGGCTATATTTTTGTAGGACCTAACGAAGAACGATGGTATAACGAAGGAAGGTTATTTGATGAAAGGTCCTGAGATTGGTAGTACAGATAGAATGTTCGCTCACATTGGTTCAAAATCGTTCAAGAGACGTTTTTGCCATCTCAGGCAGGAAGTTGATGGCACTTATATACTCGAGTTTTTCAAAGATGAGAGAAAGGGTGAGGCAAAATTGACGATAGTGATGGACTTTTGTATAGAAGTTATTAGAAATCCAAAGCGTGGAAGATATTGCTTTGAACTGCGAATGAGCGACACCCACAAATCTTATACTTTGGCTGCTGATAATGAGGCTGATATGCAGGATTGGTTATTGAAGCTCAGTTCCGTTTTACAACATTACAAACAACAGGAAGAGAAGCGTGCTGCATCATTGGAGAGAACTTGTAATACGCCACCACCGTCGCCACAACCCATGCAGGTAATCATATCATATTATAAGTTATTTTAATTTTATTATTAAAGCTTTGAAATATGTAAGTTTTTAATGGATATTTAATTAAAAGCAGTTTTTTAATGAAACAAAAATATTTGATATTAAAATTCAGAAATATATACCTCTGTTAAAGCTAGCATCCTCTCTCCCACAAAAAATCGAAAAAATATATATGCTCTATTTATGTGCTAATTATGTGCTTTCCCGATTGTTTTGCTTGCGCGGTTTAGCAGGAAATGGGAATTGAAAATGGGGGGTGTTGGCTTAACGAAAGTTAGCACCTCCCTCTCCCTATTAAAATTACATACAAAATAAAAAGTTAATAGCTCAGAATTATGTGCTATTTATGTGCTTTCAAACGCTATAAAAATAATTGACATCGCTAATAATTTAGAAGATATAGGCCAAAAAATAAATATACCTATCAACCATACAAAAGTAAAATATCAGTAAGAATACAGATAGCGAATTCTAGATTTAAAATATTGCTTGATTTATGTACTCTCAAAATATGCAAGACCCAATTTTTGTGCTCCTCCAGGTGACTAATAAACCATCCCGAAAGTTAGCATCGCCCCAACCGATCAAGAGTAAAGTACTAGTAAAAAATAGAAAACAGCGAATCGGTTCTACGCTTAAAATGAGCCTAGAATCGATTCGCTATCTCTATTTTTACTGGTACTTTACTCTTGTTCGTTAAGACGGTGCTAACTTTCGGGATGGTTTATTAGTCATAAGGGATGAGCACAAAAATTGAGTATTACATATTTTGAGAGCACATAAATCTAAGAACATTTTAAGCTTAAAACCGATTCGCTATCTGCATTCTAACTGGTACTTTACTGGTACTCTTGTATGGTTGTTGATAGATATATTTATTTTTTTGACCTATATCTTCTAAACTTTTAGCGATGGGTCAATTATTTTTATAGCGTTTGAAAGCACATAAATAGCACATAATTCTGCTATTAACTGCTATTAGCTATTAACTTTTTATCTCGTGTGTAATTTTAATAGGGGGGGGAGGGGGTGCTAACTTTCGTTAAGCCAGCATCTCTATTTTCTCATTCTCATTTTCTGCTAAACGCGCGAGCACAAAATCGGAACTACAGCACACAAATAGCGCATAATTTGGGCATATATATTTTTCAATTTTTTATGAGGGGAGAGTGCTAGCTTAATAAAAATGAAATATACATTTAATATATTTAAATTAATATATTTAACATGTTTCTGATTTTAGGTTTATGGTACACTGAAAGGTCTCGAGCAGAGCATGAATCCGCAACTAATAAAATATTCAAGGGAGACTGACACTAGCATTGCTTTAGCAAGGAGAGAGAACAGAAAAAGATTGTTCAGTGTGTATCCTTACATGCTCCATGCCAAAACGCACATAGGACAATCTACTGACAATGTGGATCCTTATAAAGAGCAATTTGGTCATAGGATCCTTGTCAAGTGTGAAAGTCTTAAATTTAGATTGCAAGCGCCTATCGACGAAAAAGAATCTCTTTGTCAAGTGGAACCTTACCACACAACATTGAGTCTTTTTGATGCTAGAAATGGTAGGAAACTCACGGAAAACTTTCACTTTGATATTAATCATGAAATAATGCGAGATATGGCAAAAGAACTTAGTCCTGTGGGAGTTATAACGGAGACAGGGGATATTACTCTTCCTGGCGAACTGAAAAATATTCCTTCAGACTGGATTAAATATCCAAAACAGGTATGAATTATTTAAGTATGAAAGAAAACAAATAAAAGGTAATGATACTGATCTATAAACATAATATCCAAAAAAATTATTAGAATTTATAATAAGAATTTATTAATTATTAATAGAATATGGATTTATAAATACAAAAGCATAATGTATATCGTTGCAGGCTATATTTAATGTTAGTAATCCTCATCCTGATATTTTCCTTGTTGTAAGAATAGATAAGTTACTACAAGGAAATATATATCAGACTTCAGAACCATATTTAAGAGCTACTAAAGATCCAAGATTGGGCTTGAAGGTGCATAAACAAGTCCGAGCGTGTTGCCAAAAGTAAGATTGTAGATTCAAATATCTTTTCATATAACAGCATTAATTGAACATTAATTTCATATTTTAAGATAATTTAACAATTCCGAAAAAATTTTATATAAATTTGTTTACATTCGTAATTCTTTTTTTCAGACTGGGAAATTACAGAATGCCATTTGCATGGGCTGCAAGACCACTATTTAGATTGTATAGTAATGAATTGGATACATCTTCAGACTTTCCAGCAATATATAGACAGGAGGGTAATAAAATTAAGGACGAAGAACTATTAAAGTTTCTTTCTGAGTATAGAAAGTGTGTATTAATAATTAATGATTTAACGTTTAATATAATATAGAACTTAATATACATTATTATTTATTATATCAACAACAAATCTTATTTACAGGCCCGAGAAACTTAGCAAATTGACCGTAATACCTGGTTGGTTGAAGATTAAGATAGAACCCATCATAGACATTCCTGAAAGTGCGTATTATCATAAAAGTTTTGTTTTCCTAGTTCTACAGTAGATTTTCACTTAAGACTATTTTTTCAGGCAGGCTATATTGGTTTTATGATATTAGGCGAGAAATGACATACAGGTTTTTGTGATGTATGGCTTTAGTTTTTAGTTTTCTTCTAAAAATGTAATAATTTTGTGATTCTAAAATTTGTAAAATTTATGAATGACCAATACATTTGTTCGATCTGTCATGTAGAAGTATAAAATAATTCTTGAAATAATGGATCATTTTTCAGCCATGCTGAAGTGACCATGATAACTGAATATGGCTGAAAAATGATCCATTATATTATAAATTATTTTACGCTTCTATCAAATTGATTGCCCATAATTTTTATAAATTTTAAGATCACGAAATTATTTTTAGAAGAAAAATAAAGCCATCACAAAGAGCTATACGTTTTCTGATTTTACATTTTAGTTTCAGGATTAAATTATGCTTTTAAGGAAAAACTAGGAAATGAAGTTATATTCAAGAAAATTAGTGTACATAATTTTTCGCCTATGATGTCATAAACTAATATGATTGTGACGAGAGAATTAAATCTTAGGCCGTGTGCACAAGAGGAAATATTAAGAATAAATATTAAATTTTGAAAATAAAAATTAGGAATAAAGATTAAATATATATTTTATATTTACTTGTGTCCATTGCACGTTTAATCTCTTTTTAATTTTTATTTTCAAAATTTAATTTATTAATATTTTTTCATTATGCGCGGGATCTTAATGACCTCTAGAGTAGTGACCAGCATTGCATATAGGTAATATAGTATGTGATTATATGTATAAAGTTTTTTGTACAATTGTATTATTTTATTTATATATATTAAATTATATATATTTAATATAAAAATTTAATATGATGACATTAACGAAGCATAAATTTTAAATAGTGTTGTAAAAATTATGGAAAAAATATATATGTAATTAATAATAAAGAATTTTATGTGTATATGTGTTTATAAAAAAATTAGAAAAATATTTTGATAATAATTTAATAAAAAGTCTAATCTTATTGTATTTAATGAAGCAAGACTTCATAATTAATTAATTCAGAGAAATGCGAGTGACAAGAAAAACATAATAAGCATTGATATGAAAATTGAATCAGAAGTCCCGTCTGGGATGCTGGTTACTGTTCTAGATTACATTAGAACTAAAAATATATAAATTTAAAAATTTAGGAATTAAAAATTTAAAAATAAAATCCGAGGAATAATAATCATTTAAAGATATCTGATGCAATATCTGGGTGCAAAAACTGCACAACATTTATAATTAAATTTTAAATAATAACAATTCTTGTAATACGTAAAATGATTTTTAATGATCTTTATTAGTATGAAAAGAGAAACTTATAGTCAATAGTTTCGAACGATTCCAGGTGTACGATACATAAAATACGATTTCTAGATACGTTGTCGACTTGCCTAGCGCCGTTAAAGCCATTTCCGATTCCACCAACGATGGAGCCAACTATTGAGGTTGCCGAGTTCGAGAGCACTTCAGAGAGGGATGTACATCCATATACGACGTATATTAATCATTTATACGTGTATCCACAAATACTCAACTTTGATAGTCAAAAAATGTTCACCCGAGCTAGAAACATAGCGTGCATAGTAGAGCTTCGTGACGACGATGGTGAAAACACCAAACCTTTACGAGTACGTGATAAAAGAAGAATTATTCGAAGATAGGAGAATCTAAAGAACTTTATTTTTTCTATTGTTCCCCAGGTAATTTATGGAAGACCAGGTTCATTGTTATTATGCTTACGAGCATCATGCACGGTGTTACATCATAATGCAGTACCTTCTTGGTACGAAGAAATCAAGATTAAACTGCCCACGAAATTGCACGCAAAGCATCACATACTATTCACTTTTTATCATATAAGTTGCGACATGAACAAAAAAAAAGAAAATGGCATCGAAAATTGTGTTGGCTATGCATGGGCACCTTTACTGCATAAGGGAAGGTAAGATTCAATAAAATAAACACCGAGATGAAAATTTTAACTGTTAGCATATCTGTGTGTCTTGTGACATATCGTAATATTTGCAAAAAGAAAAAATTGAAAAAATAGATGTTGATATTTTTATTTTATACAGACTGAATGTGGATATAGAATCAAATATCCAAGTATTGCCTGTAGCAACGCATTTACCACCGGGATACCTTTCCATACAACCCCTTGGCCTAGGGAAAGGGGTAAGAGTAAGATCATTGGTATTGTCTATTAATAACATATTTAGGATGGCATGAGCATTAATTGTGTATTTCCGTAGAATGCAGGACCAGATATCACCTGGATCGATTCTCAACGGCCAATCTTCACGGTATCTTTTCAATTAATTTCGACGGTATTCACTCGAGATCTTCATCTGCATAATCTTTTCGTCCATGCTGAACGTATCTTAGATACAAAACCTTCGGCGATGCCTTCAGATTCAGAAACGTGTAAAATCTTGAAGGCGGCGCATGCAATTCAACTAGTCACCGTTATTACGTTTCTTCCAACTATATTAAATCAACTGTTCGTATTGTTGACATGTAATACCAGCCAAGAAGTCGGATTGTATGTGATCAGAGTCTTGATACATTTTATAAATATGGTGCACGAAGCTGGGCGCAAGGAAATTCTGCAAGCATACATCAAGGTAGAATTTCAAATATTTTTTGATCAATATATGAGTTCTGATTCTATCGGCTTTTATTTAAGGTCCCTGACTAGTCAGCGAAGAACTCCGCGTTGACGGTAGCGACATACCATCGCGGTGAAAAATAAAAGCTCATATATCCTTGTTCATCTTATTTTTGTCTTTGTTCATCTTTATACAAGTGACATGCGGACAATGAAATTTTTTATAACGGCTATTTTTGTTATTGTATGCTTAATCGTGCAAATATGACTTGTTTCGTACTTACTAGATTCGTAGAAATGGGCGGCAGCTAAAATTATTGTCGGATATTTATATGTAAAAGCATTTTTTTCACTTCTTTCAACAGCTGTCAAATCGTGTGTTTTCTGCCTGAACAGGCTTCATTTCACATGCCTTTTACAGCTATTTATTGATCAGGAAAGGAAAGGATAGCAACCGCTCAAAGTGTCTTAAAGCCATATCAGGTTATTTTAGTTAAATATTTCTTTATTTGCAAAGCTAACTAAACTCGTCATAAATTTTATTGTGTCATTTCTCGCCTATGTCACGATTCCAATATGGCGGTGATTATACTCAGGAGCCTTAATATTTTTAGAATTTTGAAATTTTAGTTTATTTTGCGATTGATCTGATTCTACTCTAGTTTTCTAATTTTAGTTCGTATTTGTGCTGCCTTCATTACAAAATGGTAATGTCACGGTTCATGAGCAACTAGCAAGGTACTTGCCAACTTTGTTGCAACCGAGTAATACCGATTTTCTAGTGGTAAATAAGTTCATGCATCATTCAAGTTTTTTTTTTGAAATAATGATCAAAAGTATGGCGCAATATCTGTTAAGCACTGGCAGGATAAAGGTGAGTTCTTCAAAATTGTCTTGAAATCTTGGAACTTGGTGATATAGAATTAAATTATTACTAAATATTGATTTTTTTTAAAAACATTTTGTATTTATTAAAATAAATTATCGATCCTTTTTTTTTTTTAATGAAAATTAGTTATTTTAAGCAGCACTTTCATTTCTTACTTTTTAGATGCATCGAAATGAGCGATTCTCTAAAGATTATCATGAAAGGATCAAGATGTTATTAGATGTGATTATGCCATATTTAATGACTAAATATAAAGAAATGCCGGTAGAGACACATGAGTTGAACAAAAGTCTTGCACAATTTTTAAAGGTATTTAACATATATACGTATATGTTTACACGTGCGCGCGCGCGTGTACATACATGATTATCACAATACAATACATGTCTTTATCTTGTTCTTATTCTTGATTATATCATGATACACAGCGATGTCTTACATTTATGGATCGTGGCTTTGTATTTCGTCTCATCAATTCTTATCTGGATAATTTTTCGCCTGGTGATCAACGTACGCTGCACGATTTTAAATTCACTTTTCTACAAATCATCTGCTCTCACGAGCACTATGTATCCTTCAATTTGCCAATGATGCAGTCACGCCTTGCTTCAAGAGGTAGGTTGTATTAATTACAAGGATTATGGTGAAGACTAATTATTAATTTATAACTTATAACTTAATCATTTCGCGTGTTCGAAAGATACTGACAATGACATTGAGAGTGAACCAGAAAGTGATGGTATGTTTATAATTATATTCATACACAAACACATATTGTATGTATGTGTATGTTTTTGTTCATAAAAAATATTCATTATGTATTTTTTATAGCAATAATACCAATTATATAATTTATAATTAATTTAAAAACAATGATTGATTCAAGAATTATTTTTCAAATCGACAAATACGCCTATTATGTTATCACATAATTCACATTTCATTATCAGAATTATTTACTGCAAATGCAGTATTCATTTTTCTATTTGTTTTGTATACATTTATAACGTTATCTATTATTTTAATTGCATTTTGTAATTAGTGTATGTTAAATATAAATAAGATTGTGATGAAATGTTTATTTGACAACAGATTTAATGAATGAATATTGCCTCACGGAAGAATTTTGCAAACACCATTTCCTGGCTGGTCTTCTGATGCAAGAAGTTAGGATCTCCCTCAATGAGATCGTGCAGATTCGTAAGGTCGCCATTGGCGCTCTACGGGATTTAATGGCAAAACACGAATTAGATGATAGGTATCAGAATAAGGTGCGATTTCCGTCTTGTTCATAATTACTATATTCATTTATGGTATAATTTCTAAGAAAATGTATTATTGGAATAAATATTGGAGATTTTTCTTCTTTATATAATTTATATGATTATAATCTAAATATTTAGTGCTTTAAATTTTAATTATTTCAGGGTCAACTGAGTAGAATAGCATCAATTTATATACCGTGGCTTGGTATTGTATTGGAGAATTTGCATCGATTACAATCAGTAGAAGAGAACGAGATCAAAATAGAAATTAAACAGAACGACGCTAACAGAGTATCAACTAGTAGCTCATTCTTGACAACGAAGGATGTTGGTGCTAGTTCTACGATCGCTGGTACACCCAAATCTATTCACAGGTATATAATAATGTACTAATAAGACAAATAAATAGTTACTAATAGTTATTAATAAATTGAAAATCAAAGAAAAATTTTGATATACAGACTGACTCTTCATCTGGACACACAATCACCTATAAGAACCTCTATGCATCTACGAGATTCTACTTATTTCGCCGCCATTGCGGGCCAAGGATTAGTCAATGGATATTCTTGCACTAGTGTTGAATCTGATACGTCAACGATGTCTGGTGCGTCTCAATCCAATATTTCCCAAGAGACCGCCATTGTTCGAGAGTTGACAGAAAATGGAACAGCTGAGAAAAAGAGACATTCGCGTACGTTGAGCGTGACACAGTCGTCGCCTAGGTGTGATAAGTTGCAACCCTCGGAAGTGAAGGACATACTACTTTGTTTCCTATTTATTGTCAAATATCTGGGTGATCATCAAGTGATCGCTTGGTGGCAGCAATGTAATGATACAGAAATACTGAGCTTTTTCACAGTGATTGAGTAAGTAACAAGTGGCAAGAAAAAATAAAACTGCTTATTTTTTTTAGAAAATATAGTAAAATTTTTTTATTATATGAATGATATTGTTATTAGACGAAATTATATGCATCTGGTATAACTCTTAGACTTTATGTGAATAATTTTTTTTTCTATTTTTAGAATGAGCTTGTATCATTTCAAGTATATTGGTAAAAGACAGATAGCCGCGAATGTTACAAGTAATGTTGGAAAGCCCCGTACTGTTAAAGCAATGACTTTACCCGCCAGAATGGCACCGCCAGACTTTACCACTGAAAGTCCTACTACTAGTACATTACAACCTCACAATACAGCTACTAGAGAAAATCTAGTTGAAAATGATAGCGGCAAAGTGTATCAAGCTCTATTAGAGGCAAATATGGCAACAGAAGTTGGTCTAATCGCGTTGGATTGCTTGGGTCTCTTCTGTATTCATTTTAAAGTAATGATTATTAAGAGAATTTTTTGTTTTCTTGATTTTATGTGTTAATGATTTCCTAGAACACATTTATTAGCAATTGCTCTCGTTTAAAGCAATTATATATGTTGCAATAGTATGATTGTCAAAGATTGAAAGATTGATTAATCATTCTTAAGTAATACAATAAATAAATATTTATTTAAAGACATCAAAAAATCAATACAAACATGTCTATAGATTTTGAAGATGCATAAATCTAAATATAAATATTTAAGATACACATAGTATATTTTTTATCATATTGATTTCAAGTTGATATTCATGAAACATTAACATGATTTACTTTTTTCAGGATATTCTCTTGGCGAATGAAGGTGACAATGCTGTTATGCAAAAGTTTTTCAACATTTATCTATCGTTTCTTCAAGTTGGTCAGTCCGAGACATTACTACGTCACGTTTTTGCTGGATTTCGAGCTTTTTTGAATAATTATTCTATCGCGCTTTTTCAAGGTGATTATTTTTTAAAATTTTAGAAAATTTAGTTTTCTTTATAACAGAAAAAGAAATAAATGCATAATTAATCATCTTTAATAATAAAGAGCATATATGATAGATATGTAAAATATGCATAAAGCTTGAATATATTTTTATTTTGTAGGCAATGCTGTGCTTTGCGGTCGTTTATGTTATGAATTACTACGTTGTTGTAATAGTAAACTAAGTTCCATACGACAGGAGTCCTGTGCTTTACTATATTTGCTCATGCGAAGTAATTTTGAATTTACCAGTCGGAAAGGATTGACCAGAGTGCATTTGCAGGTACAGTACTCTTGTTGAAAGCACAATTTGCTAAGTTTGTTTCATTTATGCCATACATTTTTTTTTTGTTGATTTCAGCAAAATTGAAAGCTTTAAAATCTATATATTACATATTTGTAGGTGATAATTTCAGTTTCTCAAATGTTGGGGGATGTAATTGGTCTAAACAATTCACGATTTCAAGAATCGCTATCGTTAATCAACAGCTATGCCTCTTCTGATAAAGTGATGAAGGGTACAGGTTTTCCAGTTGAAGTGAAAGATCTTAATAAGAGAATACGAACAGTTTTAATGGCAACTGCGCAAATGCGGGAACATAACAATGATCCTGAGATGCTGGTCGATTTACAACACAGTTTGGCTAATTCTTATGCCAGCACACCCGAATTGAGACATACATGGTTGGAGACGATGGCTAGGAATCACACCAGAGACGGCAATTTCTCAGAGGTGCATATTTTTATTATGTTGACATAAAAATATATTTTCATGTATTTTAAATATTTGTTCAATATTATTTAATGATATTCTTAACGCATATTTAACATGTACTCTTAATTTTTAAGGCTGCTTGTTGTCAACTGCATATAGCAGCGTTAATGGCTGAATATCTGAAATTGCGGAAAGTTCATCCGTGGGGCGCAGAGGCTTTCGATCAAATTTCCGTGAACATATCGAGAGACGAACGGAATCTCAAACTTGATGCTGGTGAGATTTGTATGTTTTTACTGCATGGTTTTACGTTTATTTTTTGTTACGCTTTTATTGTGTTACATGTACGTATAAATCAAGAATAGCTATAAGAAATATTAATCTGAGGGTTCTTAGGTGTTCAAGATATTCAGTATAACGAAAGTTTACTCGTCGAACAATTAGAAGTTTGTGCCGATACGTTGGAGAAAGCTGAGCGTTTCGAATTGCTTTGGCATTTATATCGTTTAATAGTTCCTATGTACGAAAAGAAGAGAAATTACGAAGCTTTAGCTAATTGTTACTCGCATTTGGCGCAAGCCTGTAATAAAATTATAGAAGTGACACGAACTGGAAAGAGATTGCTCGGGAGATTTTACAGAGTAGCATTCTTTGGCATGGTAAGATATATTATTATTTCAGAATGCATATTTTTGTAATTCAAAAAAATTTGTACATGCATATATAATCAAACTTATAATAAAGAAATAACGAAATTCGTGATCGAGAAAATTATGAAATAAAATTGGTATATCCATTATTTAGGCATACTTTGAAGAGGAGAATGGTCAAGAATACATCTATAAAGAACCCAAAGTGACATCATTGTCTGAGATATCGGAACGATTATTACGTTTGTATAGTGAAAAGTTCGGATCTGAAAATGTTAAAATGATAATGGATTCTATACCGGTCGATGTAAGCGAATTGGATCCTAAGATAGCATACATTCAGGTAACGCACGTAACGCCATACTTTGAAAAGCCGGAACTAGAAGTGCGACAAATCGAGTTCGAACAGAATCACAACGTGTCTTGCTTCATGTTCGAGACGCCATTCACTAAGGAGGGCAAAGCAAGAGGCAATCCGGAGGATCAATGGAAACGTAGAACTATTCTTACAAGTATGGTCAAATGTCAAATGTCCTAATAATTTAATTTATTTATTCGAATATCTGACATCTCACTTTCTTGAGAAAGAAATACAAAAATTTTATATTTGTCGTTTTTATAGCGCAATATGCTTTTCCCTACGTGAAGAAGCGTATTGGGATTGCCGAAAAACGAATAGTAGAACTTAGCCCTATCGAGGTCGCTCTAGATGAGATGAGGCAACGTGTTCAGGAATTGGAAGATGTAGCTTTGATCAAACCGACAGATGTAAAGAAACTACAGTTACGTCTTCAGGGTAGTATTTGCGTAACAGTGAATGCCGGTCCTCTAGCTTATGCTTCCGCATTCTTGGATCCTGCTCTGTCTCCACAATATCCCGATGACAAAGTAGAGGAGTTGAAAGATGTTTTTAGGTATGTTTTATCATTTTACATTTTGTGTAATTTTTTTGTATATGTGATATTGTATTTACAAGGAGTCATTTACAAATTTTCTTGTGATTTCAGGGAATTTGTCAAAATATGTTACACGGCATTACAAATTAATAGTAAGTTGATTACACCAGACCAACACGAGTACCAAGAAGTGCTGCGTGAGAACTATCAAAAATTGTGCCAGAGTTTATCATCCTTGTTTGGAGAACCGATATGGCCAGACGAACAAATAGGAAATTTCAAACGCGAATAGTACTGCTCTCTTCAGTGCTATCAGCGGCGCTAATAATCATACTAGTACAGCCTAAGTCAATAATTTTAGAATATTCATCTGACAGACCTCAGATTTATCATTTTTTTAGTATAACATGTCTAAGGTTCTTCCAAGCACAAGTTCGCGAAACATCTATATCGTAAATATTAATATCTTTTATTTTTTTATTGACATTTATGAATCTATCATTAAATGTATGTATTAATTTTGTAATTTTTGCACTGGCCTAATGAAAGCACTTTTTGATCACTGCCAGTTCTTTTAGAAAAATTTACGAATGTCTCCTAGAGAGACATGACTATAAAGAATACATGAGAATAGATTATAGTTGATAGCAGTTAAAAAATTTCGATAAAGCCAATTGCTTTTACCTGTTAAGTCTTTAATATAGGTGGTATAATTCGATAATTTGTGATTCAACTAATAGAATAAGTTAGTTCACATGCCAGGGCATTTATATCTATGGTAAATAAAAATGTATACCTTAGTTCTTTCACTGGATAATGCTAGTCTATAAGATATTTATACTTGTGATGTCTATATATAATCAACTTTATCAGGATTTTTGTCCTCGTCCCTTTTATCGATTAGGGAATTATAATCTGATTAACAAAATAATTTAATGAAACAAAAGGATAGCATCCATTTATGATATAACAATACAATAAGATTAATTTTATTGTGTTTCAATGAAATTTTTTTTGTTGGATTTTTTTGTAATATAACGTTAATATCTAACAAACACAGGCAAATTTCAATTATTGTTGGTGTGTATTTTATTGTTGATATACTAAATTTATGCCTTATCCCTTCTATATAAATAGTAATTGTACGGATAAATTTTTTTACCCAGTGCACGTTGCAATATGTATAGTATACAATGTACTGATGATTTATCAAAAACATATTGAGATATTTCATGTAAAAATTGATTTGTATATATTACTTGTTTAATTTCTTGCGTGCGTATGAGTGCTGTGTAGTCGGCTGTTTTAGAGGTAGATTGAAGGGAAAGTATTAAGTCCTCGATGCTGTAGCAATTGAATCGTTGAATACTTTATTCAGCAATTATAAAAAACTTATGTATGCGCTTGCACACTATTAGTAGTACAAATACAAACTCGATTGAGTAATTTTTATGCCAATTATTGAAATTTTTAGAAAATTAAACGAAAATTTATTTATATCTTAGAGTGGAGTGAAGGACCGTAACGTCAAGTAGCGATTACAGTCGATTGAAAACAAGTCCGACCACTTTGATACTTTGCAAGTACGCACAAAAGTGATGTTACATATTGATAATTATTTGAGAAAGTGTGAAAAAATTTTATAAATTAAGAATGTGAGAGAATAAGAGAGAAAGTAGGAGAGTATGTATGTGTAAATTCACTTATAAGCTGCGAAATCAATGCGAGTATTATAAATTAGTAACAGCTTTATGAATAAATATTACAAACATACATAGTGAAATTTTTAAATATATTGTGAAAATAATAATTTTGATGTTCTTTTCTCATGTATGGTCATGCACAATATAAAAATTCAAAAAAGAAACTTGTCTAATTATAATATTTAACATTAAGTTTTTAATTAATAAATATTTTATAAATATTTTTTTAAATAATCTGCTAAATTGAAATCAGAATTTAACATAAATTTTATAACTAAGTCTGCTTTAAAATAAATAGATAAAATAAAAATATAAACATAGTACATAAATATACAGAATATATTTTGCAGTATATTTCTTAATTTTTTAATTTTTTAGGAAATTAAGGATATTTAGGAAATGAACATTATATGACAAAGATAAAGATACTTTTATAACTGTATTTAATAATTAAAAGTCAGAATGCTACTAATTTCAAAATCCACTTGATTTGTTTAAATGACATTAATGATTTAAAATAAATGTTGCGAATATTATTTTGACATAATGTAATAAAACATGATTAATAAAATTAAATTAATAATTATGATAAATTATTTAAATATATATAGAATTAAAAATTGATATCTTCACTAATGATGAAGAAATACATGTATGACTTATAAGATACTAATAATTAAAATTTTTAAGTTACAAATATATATTAATTAGCAACAGTTGATAAAGAAAAGAAATTTTAGTAGTCAATAATTTTCAACATTACTCTTTATATTTTTCAACATAAAAAATTTTTAATTTTTGGTATTGTGCATTATTGAAAAACAAAAAATTAAAATTTTCTAAAATCTATATCAAGTAATTGGAATATAATTAAAAACATATATAATTAAAAAGAGTTATATAACATTTATAAACAGAAATTTTGTTATTAAAAAATAGTAAAAGAAAGAGTTAGTTAAGTAAGTAATGTAACACCAAATAATTAACTATCTTATTTCACTGATAAGGACAGCAATGCAAATGCAAATGCAAATGTAAATGAAATCCCACGCAGAAATGTAAATGGAATCCCGCACCGAAAAATTTTGGAAAGTTTTCAGAAAACTGTCAATGAATTATGAAACCTTTTAAAAACATATTTCAGACATGTTTCAGATAATATGTCCGCTTTGATGTAATTTCAAAAATGTTTCTGAAATGAGAGCGATGCGTAAAGTGTGTGAGGTTCGAGTAAAATACACGAATATATCTTGACTCTTCTGGGAGCCATCTGCCTGCGTATCTTGCTCGTTCCTGTCTCCCTGCTTGTCCCCCCAGGTGGCGCCAAGGACACATTCACACATTCAACAGTTTCTAAAATATTTGATATGAAATATTTTAATAATATAAATCTTTGAAATATGTCGGAAATATTTTATTTATAATTTTCTCACAGTGCTGAAGTATGTTAGAAAGTTTGTAGAAACCTTTCAATGAAAATGGAAACCTTTCAAAAAAATATTTCAGGCATATTTCACATTTATGTTAGCTTTTTGAAAGCTTTTTGAGTGCTTTGTGTGTATATTATTTCTATTAAGTTTCTATGAAATATACAGGGTGATTGGAAACAATTCTGGGTCTTTGAAAAGACATAATTTTGATTATATTCTGAGATAATTTTTCCTCTTACAAAATTTGACCCGGAGTCTAGTTTTTGAATGATAAAAGAAATAATCTTGGTATCACAGGATACAAGAGATAAAAGAGTGGCAGTGTAACGTTTTCTCAGACATATAATCGTTTAAATATGAGGCGGTTGTCAATTGTTATGTCTGACGGTGAGTTGCGCGACCACTGTTTAGCTTCTGTATCCGTCCTATGATAAGAAAACTATTTCTTATTATAATTCAAAAACTAGTCTTTAAGCAAAATTTTGTAACAAAAAATATCGTTTCAGAAATCTAATCAAAATTATATTATCTTTTTAAAAACCCAGGGATGTTTCCATTCATCTTGTTTCACATTTCACACGAATGTAATCCTGAAATAATATACCTATATTACAGAAGGTTCCAGAAGGCTTTCAAAAATATTTAAATCTTTCTAAAAGCTTTTTGAGTTCTAAAAGTTTCTAATCATGCTGTATGGATAAATATGCACGGCGATATACGAGAACGACACACGATGTCCTATAGGAGAATAGCTTTCCAATGGAGAATTGAATTCTCTATTAGAATGCTGTTCTTAATAATTATATTTTCAATATAATATGTTTCTGAAATTTTTGTTATTACAGCACAAAAATTTTGTTATACAGTACTAAAAAGTTTCAAAACTTTTCAAATACCTTTCAAAACATTTCAACCTTCTGAAAATTTTCTGAAACCTTCTATTCTGTATAGTATTCTATATTTTATTTTAGAGATCAAATAAGAAATATTTCTATTAAAAATCTTGATAATAAATGTTAGGGACATTTCAATATTAACTGTCACATAATATTTCGATGTAATATTTCTGAAATGTTTCGATAATGTATGTATTTTAAACATTACGTACGAAAAATTTCTATGAAATGTTTCAAAATATTTCTAAAATATTTCAATAACAAAAATAAGAAATGATTTCAACGAAATATTTCCCAAACATTTCTGAAATATTTCTATGTTATATTTCAATATTAACTTCCGACTTATCTTTCCAAGAGGTTTCTGAGAGTGCATCCCCATGAAGAAGAAAATAACGGAATGGAATAGTAACGGAAAGGAAATATGATGGGGAGCTAATCAATCAGAATGATTCCGTTCTGTTTTTTTCATAGCCGGGTTCCCCATGGCAAACATTTATTAACGGAACGAATTTATTACAGAATACGCGAATTTAACCTGTTATCGGATATATCGTTGGACGGCTCGACATAAAGCCATTTTAACCGTTCCTCAACCTATCATACACCTAATTTATCATATCTATTTACCATATCTGTACAATTATGAAAGAAAGCAATATGTAGTTATAGTATATATGTAGTTATAAATAAACTTTAAATTAATAAACGTAGATGTATTATAATTAAAAATAACTAGTATGAAAATTGAAGATACCTGTTTCATTAATAATATAATCGTATTCTTATCGTAGATTTGGATTTTGCAATGCCACATATTTGCTGTGCATATTAAGATATTTTAACAAATCTGATGCCGGATATACTTTGGAAAACCTAAATTGTGCAAAGTAAGTGTTTATTGTAAGAATGTTATGCAGGATATAAATAAAAAAAAGTGCTTCTCTGTTTTCTCCATTTCAGGTTCACTTTGAGCCATCCAATTTATTGATGGCAACCGTGAGCAACCGAAAAGAAGTAAGGAAAGGCGCGGTACCATGCGACTTGTTACAATCCTCAATGGGACAACGAGAAAAACGTGACGATATCTTTCTTACTTCTTTTCGGTTACTCACTACGAATAAATCGGATGGCTCAAAGTGAACCTGAAATGGAAGAAAACGGA